AAAGTTATCAGTTCTTTAATTAAAAGCACCTTTATCAAAAATCATTATAATACAAAAATTTTTTTATGAAACATAAACAAAAAAGTTTTTTATATAAAAGTACAAAAACTGGAGAAAAACTAAATTTAAATTTTGTAAAAATAAAAAGGTACACGTAAGATTATTTTAAAAAATCTCATCATTATTATTTTTTACTTAACGAGTAATAGCCAACGTTTTATTTTTATCAAGATTCATTTTGATTGGCGTTATCAGAATGTCCATTTCGTGGACGCCTATTGCGCCTTCGTTCACTTCTGGCACGACGAGCAGAAGTTAAATATTTTATCCATCGGAAATGTGGGAAAGCATGTGAAGAGTGTGATTGTGAAGTCGTAGCATCGGATTCATTTTGAGTAGTAGGTACTACTGTTGTTGACGCTTTACTTTGTGATGTAGATGCTTCTTCATTCCAAGATGTGTAATCAGCCTTACACATGGGACATAAAGTAGAAATTTCAAGAAGCCATGGATCGATGCAAGAACTTGAAATAAAGCGTAAGATTAGAAAATAGACAAGGGTAGACAAGAGTTAAAGAGATAAAAAAAAAACTCACGTATGATATTGATGATGACATGGTAAAATTCTCAACTCTTCACCAGATTCAAAATCACCCAGACAAATTGGGCAAGTTAATTGTTCCTCTGTAACTTTATTAGAAATTGAATTATTTGAATTTGAACCATCTGGATAAATTTTATTATTATTAATATTATTATTCGAGGATTCGTCTTCCTCGACATCAGGTAGTTTGGGGGTTTTATCTTTTTTACTAGTTTCTTGTGATAATTCATTTAATGGTATATTATTTTTATCATCAATTTGCATCTCTTTCGACTCTGTGTCTTTAATGTCTTTACCACTTTCCAAATCTTTATTGGCATCAGGATTATTTCGTAGGGAGAATAAATAAACAGGAAAACTTTCTAATACAGTTTTTGCTATACCAACATGTTTTTGACTTTGACCAGAATCATTATTTGAAATGACACCGGGATCTTGTTGAGAACGAACTCTATTTATAATAACATTGGTGATAACTACTAAAAAGAACAGACCCAACACAACACCAGATATCGTATACAATACAACCATTGCGGTTTGATAAGGTTGGGCTGAATTGTCCTTAGGATCGCTGCTGCTACTGCTGCTGCTGCTGCCGTCACCAGGCTTATAGAAAGGTCCACCATCAGAATGCGAACCAGTTTTATTACTACCTCTGATAACTACATTAGGTGGCTGACCTAGCTCTCTTATTGAATTCGAGATTGCATTATAACAGTTTGAATATTTTTCATTGAATACTGGAATCTTGATATTGGGTGAATAAGATGGAGTCGTGCAAGACTCATCTTTAGTAGAGTATAAAACTATAGCAGAGGATCCGTTTCCTTGAGCTGTTATCATATCGGAAACTGTAGAATTACTGTTACAATCTATATATGCAAACCATTGCACTGTTTTAGAATTAGTATCACTAGGCCAAAAAATTATTGGTCCCTAACAATAAAGATAATAAAGTGTAAATAAATGAAAGAAGTTATAATCATTTTATCGTTATACATACCATCATTTTTTGATTCAAAGTATTCATCACAAGACTAAGTTCACATCTTGTAAAACAACAGATCAAAACCATAAAATAACTTGATTTAGTTGAGTTTTTTTGCGCAGTCACAGACGCGATCAAAAACAAGAAAGCTATACTAAAAAATATATATATTATTTTAAAAGTCTTCATTGTTCACTTTTTATACACTTATTTGTTTCGTTTTCTTTTCTTTTGTTATTACAAATATATAAGGTTTTTAAAATAAAAGAAAGCTTATAGAATCATGATGTTTTTTTTTCTTATTTTTTTTTATATTTTTTTTCGCTAGAGGGAGTGTTCAAGATGAAAAGAACCTCTCGCTTTGATACGTAAGTACAAATTGTTTATTTACTTTTAGTAGTATTTAAAAAAAAAAAAACACTGTCAAACCTATTAATAGTTGATCATCTTTATATATTCAGGCGTCTCACAGCACGCATAAAAAGATGCTATTATCGTGATGTACACCATAATTGTAGTCTAACTTAATTCATAAAATGGAATTCTGAATCACCCAAAATACCATATTTAAATCCTTAATATAAAATTTGTACATAATTCTATATATTTATAAGTCAATATGTGTATATAACGGTCTGAATGTACATAACGATAAGTAGGGTACATGCAGGGCCGTACGTACGTTTTGGATATCTGTGACTTCTTGGCCGTCCACATTCTCGGTTATTTTATGAACCTACGTACCTTGGAAATACATATATAGGTGTGTAAAAAAACAAACCATTCTGAATAACTTTCATTAACATCAATAACAAAGGCCTATAATCATAAATTTTGCGTCATTCGGTTATACGATGCCCGAACGTTTGTATACATGTAAAACTTTGTATCACTGTCAACTCCTGTATTTTAAATAAATTTATATTTTGAAACATTGAAAATACACTTTACCATAATCGTTTTTAAGGAACTAATGTTAAGACGATATAATTATTTCATACGTATTACTTTGCGAATTAGCTTTGTAACCGTCACATTAACCAAAAATATCAAAGTTTGGGTCGATCATTTGGCCTCCCATATTCCTGTATTCATAGCGATAGGGAAACGCCCGGCAAACTTACGACATCATTTGGTAATACAGAAAAAAAGTATATCTATACATTGAAGAATTATGCCAAAATTAATCATTTCGTTATTACAGGAAATATTTCGTGAAACAACTGTTTTTTTTTCATGAATAATATTGTAATTATGAGAATTTTATATCGGCTCAGTCTTTGACAATGAATTAAAGAAAGCATTTAGCAAACTTATACCCTCTCAGCGCACATCTGCATGACAAAGAAAATCATTTCGACCTAAATAACTTAAAATTGCAATTACTGTAGCAAAAAAACGGTCAATATCAATATACTTAAAATTTCAAATAATTCACGGGACTTATTTTTTTTTTGCTCAAACTATTACTTTCTTTCTATTAGTTCGAGATCTGGGTGGTCTCTTAGCTTGTTCAACACTTAGCATATGATCCTTAACAATAATAACTCCTTCTTTAATTGCATTGTTAAACGCAGTTGGTGATGAGAAATTTGCAAATGCGCAAGACTAGATTTATACATTAATTAGTTCCTTTTTTTTTTAAAAAAAAAAGCATTGGTTTAAATGGTTGCAAAATAAGTACCTTTCCGGGAATGAAATCTAGGCTATCTATGGGACCGAAAGATGCTTCAAGACTCTGCTTTAATGTTTCTTTGTCAATATCATCGGTTAATGGACCGATATAAGTTCGATAATATGAACGACTGACGACTAATTAATATATTTTTTATGATTTAAAATTTCCTATTCAAAGTCAATAAGCGCATGAATAAGTTAAGTGTACCATATTTACCCGTTGATCGAGCTGCCACTGTCAAAAACTCATTATCATAAGATAAAATAGGCGGGGTTAGATCAAAGTTTCCTCCTCCATGAGATAAATCTTGAATAAGATCGGACTGGTATTTTGTAATTTTTCGATATTTTTCAATTATGGCATCCTTTTGCTCAATCTGAGACAAAAGGGCAAGACATCTGCGACAATCTTTTCCGTTCATATTTGTTTCGTACGAATTTGAATTATAGCGAAAGAAGATTGATAACGGGAGGAGTGCGCAACCTAATTATAGTAAAGCATATTCACGTTTTTTGATATATATATAATCTTAATTATTGTGTGTACCTGTGGTAAAAATATTTAGTCTTTCGGTGATACAAACGCAATTAATGAGTCATATAGACGCAATTAATTTTTATTTTATTTTATTTTATTTTATTTTTTTATTATGACAGCCTAATCAAGCCTTTGTAAAGAAAAAATAGGATATGATTTATGTTGTGAACTTTTTTGGATGATTTCCCGTTTGCTTGAATATTTACTATTACAGTATTAAAACATCAACATTTCCATTTTCCGTCCCTGAATTATTATATTATTTTTATAAAAGCCGAGCATGTTCCGCCTAGGGTTGGCAATGGAGCCCAATGGACTGCAAACGGAGCCAATGGATACTAGTTTTTTGAGCTCCATTGGCATAATCATTGAGCTCATTGGCTCCGGTTCTATTTCTTATCTCACGTGATCAATGTATTAATCAAATTTGACTCGATTTTGTACTAACCTTACGTATAAATTAAAATAACAACTGTCGAATCGTGTTATTTACTGATAGAATACAGCCAATGTCAAAAAAGGTACGTACGTACGTACGTACGTATTTGTATGTGTGTATGTAATAGATTAAATAATTACACAGACTAACTTAAAATTTATCCATAATTAGATCAGTTAAATTTATAAATAAATTTTTAAAATAATTTTTTTTCTGTACGTATGTACCCACATAATAAATACTTTGAACGCAAAAGATCGTTAAATTCTATAAGAATATTTTCAATTCCTATGAAATTTGTAGAATTTGAAATGTCTGAAATGTCTTTAAATTTGTGTTATTTGACTGCGGATTGACCAACATGTCGCATAATCTAATTTCTTGGCACTGGCAATTACATACATTTTTATTAATTTAACCGACATCATTTAGAATGACAATTTAGTATATTACTAGCTTTGCCACATCGATATATTATTTGTAAATCTTCACTTTATGTGGTGTCGGTTAGATGCAAAAATGATTGTCGGTAAAAATATTACGAATCCATCTTTTTGAAGTTATAGAAATTCTATAGACGGGTAAGACCGATATGTATACGTATACGTACAAAATTATCTTTTATCTTTTATCTATTGATTTTTTTTCATTCAATAGTTTGACATTTCTATATAAGATATTTTTTTGATAAGCTAAGCACTTTGTGTTTTATCAGTATTATACGTAACGAGATTTTATTAAATCTTAAAATCATGATTATAATTAATTTTTACCCATGGTGATATCACTTGTTGCTATAACTTTTTATTAAAAGTTAAATGATAAAATTAGAACTTTCTAATTATGTAATTTTTTTTACTAATGTATAATATTTTTATTAAATCTAGCGTTTCTATCCATTATCCGTTTATCTATTTATCCATCGGATATCCAAATCTGAATTTATTCGGATATCCGTTTTACTATTAATATCCGGATAATTATCTGTTTACCCGTCGGATTTTCCGGATATCCGAGTGATTTGGATTATCCGGATAATCGGATACGGATAAACGGATGACGGATTTATCCGGATTGGAACTCTAGTTTTTGGACAATTATAATATAAAAGTGCCTTGTTTTTATTTTTGCAATGTTAAATTATTTGCTGTTTTACGATCTTCACAGGTTTTATACTATACTTTCGACAATATTTACAGTTTTGTCAAATAAATATATAAATAATCGTCACTTAATACAATTAATTAACTTATTAATACAGTGATTAATTAACTTATTAATACAATGATTAACTGATTACGTATTATGCTTTTTGCATAAATTTTTGTTTTTTGGTATGTTTTTGTGTAACCGTGTTAAACTTTGTGAGGCGACTGTACACATGACCCTTGTTAATAGCTGCCTTGATTCCTGAGAAGTATTATGCGAAATCATGTTCTGAAGCCTGTACGTGTGGTTTATAACCGTGATTCCGGAACGTAATGCTAACCTAAAGGTAGAGGCTGACTACGAGGCTAAGCGAGTCTCAGCCGAGGTTAAGAAATTAAAACTTATCAACATCTACATAAATACTTATGTATATATCTTAATTATTATTGTTACGGCTGATGCTGAAAATTTAACCTATTTTGTATTAAATTTTAAAAATTTTTGGAGTATTTTTTACCACTTTTTTTTTTAGGGTTAGATTAGGATTTAGGGTTAGAATTTATAATTACTGAATTACTGTATTAAAGAGTATATGTGGATTTTATCAGGGCTTATATTTTAAATTCGAGTCCCCAATTTTTAGCATCAGCCGCTACATTTATTCTGCAATAGAAAGCGGAAAAATCTTTGATTTTAATCAACATTGTCAAAATTTCAAGAATTGGGTAATATCATATAGTTATTACATTTACAATTACAGGTTTATTTGAAACCGGGCCGCTCGCATGTGTGATCTCTGGTTTGATTACTAAATTAAGGGGTCCTTAAAGCAGGTCACCGCGTGACACAATGTTTTTCATTAACATTAAAGTTAGGGTTAGAGTTAGGGTGTAAACTACCTTTCCGAAATTTTTTGTTAATGCTCCAATGCAGATTTATACTGCCATTTTTTTATATTTTCGCATATCTCTCTCTTTTTTACTTTTTTAGCTCTTCGGGTTAATCAAAATTAGCAAATTTTGATTGGCTAATTATGACGTAATTTGCCGTTTTAAGGAATCCTAAATTAAGAAATTTGATGAACAAATCCGCTCCGTTTTTCCGTCTTTGTCAGCCATACTACGTATGATGATAAACTATCGTGAAATAATCACGCAATTAGTATGACGTGATCATTGTAGATCACTTAATATTCGAATGCTTCTGGCAGAAAACTGGTAAATTTTGATATGTAATTTTAATTTTATCTTACCGAACTCAGCCTATAATGAATTAATCGCCATGTGATTCAATCATGTATGATATTATATGTGATAAAGGCTAAGTCCGGAAAGAAAAAGAGATTAACATGTTTTTTTAGAAACGTTCATGTGATTGTTCATGTAGATTATGGGGTATTGTAACTATGCACTTGTCATGTTTTTTATATAAATACGCCAATATGTGTTTCTTCATAAAACGAAAAATATTCTTGCACAAAAATTTTAAAAATTGTCGTTTAAGTAATTTTCTAAAAAAAAAAAAAACCACACTAATAATTTAATTATAACCAAAGATGGCCATCACATGTACTGACATTTTTAAAGTAATTTTCGCTATTATTTTCCCACCACTTGGTGTTTTTCTTGAAGTCGGATGTAACAAAGATTTACTCATTAATATTCTGTTGACACTACTTGGATACATTCCTGGTAATGAACGTCTCTATTTCACTTATTGTTTAATGTATTGGCATTGCATGCAATTAACAATTAAATTTATTATTTTTCTTTATTCATTAAGGAATTATTCATGCATTATATATAATTGTCAAATATTAAGTAATGTTAGTATATAATTGAACAAAAAGAACGCTATCCTGAAAAGAAGAGAGGGAAATAAGTCTCCAATTCTTTTTTTTTTTTTTGATAATAATACTATAGCAGTAACGATATCCATCTGCTTATAGATATTTATTATTTTCTAATCATTTGTTTTAATATAACGTATATACGTACATGCGTGCATGCATATTTATTGTGTTATTTGAAAATACCAATTTGGTTAAATTAATGCTCGCCTATTTATACGTAATAGTTTTGTATATTTACATTAATAAATGAAATCTAAATAATATCATAATTTTGTGACTTTGAATAAGAATAATAAACATATATATCTGTAATATCGAAGGTACAATAGATTTAAAGAGGCAAATTGTCTCATCTGCTCTATGATTAACATACTATGCAGAAACTTAGTAACTGCATAATAACTATATAATTTATCGCTAATATTAAATTTAATAGTAAATATAAAGATTAAAGGATGTTTCTGTAATGTGTAAGCTACCGAATCGTTTTGCACTTCTATATTATTCAACCTACATTGATTCTATGTTTCATATGCACCGAACAGGGAACGTCATAATTTTGTGATTTGCTATGTTCTTAAAAAATGCTTAGAAATGTTATTTGTATTCCTAAATCACAAATACCCACGTTCCTGCTCCATAGTATTCATACAAGTTACATGTGATCAATCCTATTATAATCACTTGCCGATAATTCGAAAATATCTTCTTAATTCGCACTATCTAATGCCTTTGACATCATTATAAAAATGACAGATACGTATTTTCTTTTCTAAAATTGTAAGGAAATTTTGGCTATCGCTATAGATTGCAAACCCATCATTTTTGATTCACAGGGTCCATTCTTTTTGATTCATAAAAAAGGCCCACCTTTTTGATACTATCCCATATGATTTAACCCTTTTAACCCTAATAAAAAAGCGGGCCTTTTTCTATGAATCAAAAAGAATGGACCCTGTGAATCAAAAAGGATGAAATTGCCTATAGATTTACACAAACTGTAAAAATTGGATAATCTAATCTATACATGAAGTTGATACAATTTAATTTATAAGTTAAACGTTGCTTTCAAATGGTATCGATTAAAAAAAAATAAAATAAATGATCTATAACGATTATGTAAAATAGAACGCACGTCAAATTTTAATGCTTAGTTTTAAATATATAAACTTTTATTTTCTTAAATAAAAAAAGTTTGTTATTTTCTGTACAATATGGGCCTCGAATACTTCATTAGTTTTCGTTTCTTTCATTCTTAATACCTTTAAGTTGGTTAAGGTTGGAGTTATCAAAGATTTGTATGTTCAATCAGATAAGCATAACTGTGAAAATCATGTTCGTTAATAGTCAATATAAGACTAAAAAAACGTCTATATACTGTGCGGGCAGCATAAGACATCCAATGCGCCAATTTTTTTAAAAAAAAATTTATGATAATGATAAA